TTCAATAATGCCGGGCGATCCGAGCCCAAAAGGTAAGAATTTCTCATTGATAAACCAGAATAGTTATAAATTCTTCTAAATGAATGGTATTTATTCAGTAACAAAAGCGGAAATGTTGGTGCAAACGCAAAAAAGGGCGCCCTTTTTATTGTTTATGATCAGTGAATTATAACGTAGTCAAATATGGCGCTCAATAATTTTTAACTTTTAGCGTTTATTCAAAGATCCCCAACTTTGTGCGATTACTGCTCCTTATCCAGACCCTGATTTTCAGCTGTACTGAAGCTTTAGTCTCTTGCGAACTACAAAATGTCCTCGTTTCCGTTTGAAAGTCATTTACATTTGGCTCTTAGAGAAAAATCAACGCTCTGGAAATCGAATACTCTACAGAAAGAATTCTGAGAAGATTGTGATAAACTGAAACAAGCTAATAAATAAGTGAATTCCATCGTGTATGTCCCTTTAGCCAACCGACGCGTTGACGCAATTTCTTTAACCCAGAAAATTCTAATTGTAAAAAAAAAATAATTCCCGTAGGATTATACCTAGAAGATTCTAAGGTAACAAAGAAAATATTTACTAATCTGAATGTTTCTCACACGTTACCCGCACGAAGACTTTTCTTTAACATATGAACATGGTTCTGTCTACTATTTCAGGTTCTTCTGGCACCATAATAACATATAATGGCGATTCTGCTCGCGGATGGAATGATCCACCGACCTTCGCTTTCTCTAATAATTCGACCGGAAACAAACCCAAGTTAGACTTGAGAAAGCGAGTTTCTCATCAACAAGCCTTGCACGGCGTTCAAGCGGCTTCCCCGGGTTTACAAACGTCTGCTGTTGGTAATAAAGACGATCTTGTCAATGGTGAGTAACATAAAGACATGTACCTTCAATGTAGAGAGAGTTTGTGTACTAAAACATGCAAATAAAACGGTACTACTTAAATGGTAATATTTATTATAAGTGTGTGCGTTTTTAGTTGCACTCTTGTCTTCACAATAATGATTCGCTTGTAAAATCCAAATTTTGAGTTTGAATAAATTTAATGGTATTGTAAGTTGTGAAGACAACACAAGACCATGGTATTTACTTCTACCAGTGTTGAATGTCATGTTCTCGGTAGACATTGGTCAAGTTCTTGTTTACAACATGGGGTATCAAAGCCACTTGATTTTTCAGCCAAGCATGCAACAGTGTAACATTGCCACAATGAAGAAAGAATTAACCCACAGAATTTATAATTATTCACATGATAATGACTATTTTTTTACTAACTGCTCACAAGAACACAAATTTCCTACAGTATACATTATTTATCACCAATATGCTGACTCACTGTAAGTCAACATTGTTCCCAGAGTCTTTTCTCTTCCTCTCAACCAAAGTCGGATGAGGGAGCTTTAGCATCGACGGCAGCAACTTTTAAAAATAAATTAGCATTTTTGGGGGAAGCAAGGGTGATGCAGTGGTGAGAGTACTCGCCTCCCACCAATGTGACCGGGGTTCAAATCCCGGCCTCAATGCCATATGTGGCTTGAGTTTGTTATTGGTTCTCTCCCTTGCTCCAAGAGGTTTTTCTTCAGGTACTCTGGTTTTTCCCTCTCCTCCAAAGCCAACACTTCCAAATTCTAATTCGATCTGGAACGCACAGACACATTTAAATGAGTTCATAAGAACTCATAAGTGCTTCGTGTGTAACAAATAAATTATAATTTTTTTCCAAACATGTTGCGTTTATTCCAATTTGCTTCAAATGTCATATCGTTGAGTGTTAAAAGTAGAAAGACTTTACTCAAATTTATATATTGATCTTATTGGCAGTGTCCATCTGATTGATTTGCTCATTTGTGATTGTTTCAGGTGTTGCTGGACTACAACTGAATGGTGCTAAACAACTTTATACACCGCCACCAGTGACTGCTGCACCTCATGTTAGCAACATTTTTACCCCACCACCAGTGGTACCAGCGGCATTCACAAGAAGCATATCCACACCTTCATTCAACAGTGAAACTGTGACACAAGCAGGGCAATCTCCTGCTTATTTAGCACAACCTGAGAACTCCAGAACGCTGCATACACATGCTAAATCAACGGACAATATATCAGGAAATCTTGGACAGCCATTGTTTGATCTTAAAGACCATAGTTTTGAGCCAGTAAGAACTGCTCCCTTTCACAGCATCCGTTCAAATGCTGAAATTGGAGATCATTTTGATGATCACCATTCTGACAATCATACAGGTAGCTCGCCACAGATATTTCATCCAATTACACCACCAGTAACTACTGCTCCTTCTGTGCCAAGTTACCAAGCAACTCAGCCAGCTGCTCTGCCATTAGGACATGTCACCCCTCCCCCACTCTTACCATACCAGCCCCCGGTGGGTCAGGTAACACCACCTCTGTATCATGTTCATCGCCACAGCCCAGTTCCACCTACAGTTCCATCCCAGGGGACTGGGGTACCACCTGTGCATAGTACGACTCCGCCATTACCTCCAGGAAATCACCTTCCACCCACGGGATCTCTGAGTGCTGGTAACACTCCAAGGAGTACTTCACCATCCAGCCAAGAGAAAAACGGAAATGCTGTTAGTGCAATAGATGATTTACAAGGACTTAAAGTGACAATGGATGCCTTGCAGGATGTAATAAGCAAGCTTCATGACACATTAGAGGTTGGTTCTTAATAAGAGAGTTGCCAAAGTTTTTATCATTCAGTAAGAAAGCCTTGTAAAAAAACCCATAATTTGAGTATAGTGGACCTTTCATATCAACACTGTGAAAGCCACTTCTACAGTGACCCTGTTGCCCTGCTGTCCATGTCCTAATCTTAGTTACTACACAATCGTTCTCGACCAACCAAGTCAAATGTGGCAAAGTGGGTTTGGATGATCAGGTGATCGCAAGGAATCATCTCTGATACAGTGCTGAAGGGATGATCCCGGGAAATGAGGTGATTGTGGTCACTATATGGCTCATAGGAAGGGCTATGAAGTTTGATGTACATGTGCTGATTTCTATGCAAATCCAAAATCAAGGTGATCAATACAATGTGGACTGAAATATTGCCAATGACCAGTTTCAAAATTAAAATGTCTTTGTTAAGCGCCTGTTGGATGAAAACCACGATATGGTGCAGTTAACAGAAGACCCTTCTTCCATTTTTGGATAAATAGGGTAGGCTTTGTAAAGACAGAAATACTTTAAAATTTGAAAAGGGAAAGTGCTACAGAATAAATAAGCTAAAAAAGGTAATATTATGAACAGCGAGTACTGATAAATATTATTCGCCCTCTGTTGTTGTGCAGAAAAGAGTTGCTGATGACATTTCAAGAAGACTTCAAATAATGGCACAGAATTGGACAAATGGGAAGCTTAGTCAAGGTGTTAAGAGCAGAATGATCAAACTAGCAGAAGGTAAATAATATTATTCAGTTTCTCCACACTTATGTAGCTTTTTTACATCCCGATGATTAGTGCAGTATTAACAGAATAAGTGACACCTTGCTTTCATTTCTTTAACAAATCAGCCCTGGATGATGGCAATGTTGAAGAAGCTCATCATATTCATGTTTCATTGATGGTGGACTTTGTTGCTGAGGTATGTATTAATAATCTCTTCTGTAGTCTTTGTAACTCAGAAATACAATAATCTCTCTAAAACAATTATTACATGTACAGTTAGGACCAGTACTGGGTGACTATTCCAAATTTCTGTCTTAAACAAAGTCAAAGAAGAGGTTGGAAGAAAGGCAAACATTATAAGAATAACTGTTATTCACCGAATAACTATTATTCACATTGTTGAGGCCCTTATGTGGGTTATTCCTGTTTCTGTTTTCTTGTGAAATCACGTTAAATATTTTGGATTAATTCAGCCTTGCTGCCAAGTTGCATAAGAGATCATAACCCTTTATTATTCAGTTTTTTAAACTGTGTACTCTAGTAAAAGCTGATATTTCATTTTTTGTGTACCTAGATCTCTGAAACAAAAATAAACTCAAACATACTTTTTTCCCGGTTTTAGTCCCTGTATGGTATTAGTTCAGTTCAGATTGACCAGATTTTTTGGTCTCAAAAATATACTCTATTTGACAACAGTATCCTTGTGCCTACTATCTAGATGAAGTTTCCGGCCTTAGAAATTTGCCAGGTTGTGTACTTATGGCATTGTTCTTTCCGTTTAGGTCAACCAATGGATGGTGGCTGTGAAGAAACTGATCAATCTAGTTCGTTCTTCAAATGCATTTTCAACTCACTCCTGACAAAACAAAAATTATGATCATGTAAGAGTTAATCCAAGGAATAGGATTTNGTTGAAGAAGCTCATCATATTCATGTTTCATTAATGGTGGACTTTGTTGCTGAGGTATGTATTAATAATCTCTTCTGTAGTCTTTGTAACTCAGAAATACAATAATCTCTCTAAAACAATTATTACATGTACAGTTAGGACCAGTACTGGGTGACTATTCCAAATTTCTGTCTTAAACAAAGTCAAAGAAAAGGTTGGAAGAAAGGCAAACATTATAAGAATAACTGTTATTCACCGAATAACTATTATTCACATTGTTGAGGCCCTTATGTGGGTTATTCCTGTTCCTGTTTTCTTGTGAAATCACGTTAAATATTTTGGATTAATTCAGCCTTGCTGCCAAGTTGCATAAGAGATCATAACCCTTTATTATTCAGTTTTTTAAACTGTGTACTCTAGTAAAAGCTGATATTTCATTTTTTGTGTACCTAGATCTCTGAAACAAAAATAAACTCAAACATACTTTTTTCCCGGTTTTAGTCCCTGTATGGTATTAGTTCAGTTCAGATTGACCAGATTTTTTGGTCTCAAAAATATACTCTATTTGACAACAGTATCCTTGTGCCTACTATCTAGATGAAGTTTCCGGCCTTAGAAATTTGCCAGGTTGTGTACTTATGGCATTGTTCTTTCCGTTTAGGTCAACCAATGGATGGTGGCTGTGAAGAAACTGATCAATCTAGTTCGTTCTTCAAATGCATTTTCAACTCACTCCTGACAAAACAAAAATTATGATCATGTAAGAGTTAATCCAAGGAATAGGATTTAAACATTGACAGGGATGAAAAATGAAAGACTCAAATCAGGATATACATGTATGGAACAGTGTCTAAATGAACAGATCTGTGAAGGCTGATGAAACATACATGGGTGAACTACGGACAGCGTATTGACATTCTACTGAGAGACGTTGATTGACACACAGTAGTAGAACTAATTATTGGTCAGCTTTTTATCAAGATGGTGATTTTCGGGGGTAATTATATACTACGTATTAACCGAGAGTGAGGTCATTACAGGATTGCGATGTCACATCAAGGCCGAGGTCTGAGATTTCCCTGTAATGACCGAACGGACAAGATAAATAAGTTATTTATTATATGGCCTTTTCATTATGGACCTGAGTCTGCGATCAACTAAAACCAATAACTGATCAGGGGATAACTTTAAAAAACCTGTCACCTCAATGAGTTGTACACTTGAGCTGGCAATACAGTCATGTGACACTGGTCAGCGGATACCTTTTTGACAGCTGTCAATTTACCATAACATGCATGTCCATAAGGATGTCCAGGTCTATCAAGTTAAGCACAGATTGTATATGCCTTGGACACCTAGCTGGTAATGCCCGCTCATTACAAGAAAATAATGCCTGCAATCAGAGAGCACGTACTATTGTAGCCATATAATAAAAATTATTAATAGTTTAGTTTGAAAATTATTATTAGTTTAGTATGATTATAAATTTATCCTGCTTATAGCACAGTAATGGTGACAATTCTCTTGTAATGGAAGTGTAAAAATGTTCAAAAGAATTAACTATTTTACCCTAATACTCTCAAATCTAGAATTAATGAAAAAAGCCATCATAATTCCATTTGCAAAGTAGAATGCTGGACAATTTATGACAAATGCCAGGACGGATCCAAAGTTAGATTTCCTTAAGGTGTTTCCATAGCTGATCATCAGAGTAAACAGTAGTAAAAAATATTGTTGTCAAGTTTTGTAGTCAGATTTTATTTTGGATTGAGGATGATGAACATAATTTATTTTCTATTCATTGAAATTATTGATAGTAGTTTTAGTTAAAATGTGCCATATTCTAGAAATTACACAAAGGTAGCTGTGCAACAGCATTTTTTTCGTATAGTTTAATTTGCTGCAAGCTTCCAGTTGTTTGTGGAAGGTATCAGTTCCTTTGTGAGGTTTTAGGAAACAGACAAGAAACAAGACTGATTCAGAACTGACTCTTTACCTGAGAAATATTTTACACCAATGAACAATATCAAAATATTCTTGAATTTTATTTTCGTTTAGCATGAGCAATAACCTTTGCTTCATCTTTATTTTCGTCGTAGCTCAGTTGCAACTTCATAGTATTCTGTGAATATTTATATTGCTACAACCAGCATAAATAATTATCATGAACAGCACAAACTCTACTCTTGACACACATGTAAAAACTGAGGCAGTTATCTTGAGGGTGAGTGTGAGGTGAGTGTAGAAACTACAAAACCCTGTTGCGATTCATTCAATCTGAGGGTGTAAACTTATCTTTAATTGATACACATGCATTGGATTTGAATGTTACTCTATAGTTTCAACACAAACTCTCATAATCACACTTGTTTGGCGTCCCTCTGGACGCATTGTGATAGTCAAGAAACCAAGATTAATGCTAAACATCAACACTGAGATGGAGCGAATGTATATAGGAAAAGTGAGTGTGGTGATAAATGTCACAAGTGTAAGAAAGCAATAATTAGAGGAGAATATTAAAGTGATTTTGACTGACAAGAAACATTTTATTGCTTCGTGTAGTTTTTCTTCTTTCGTTTATTTTATTAACCCACATCTTCAGGTGTTCTTTTGGTTGTCATGCAGTGCTTACTTCCACAAAATTGTTGTGTGTCAGCCCAAAGAATACCTGCATAGAAGACTAATTCCAGGATGTGCATAACTCGTGGTCTTCATTGTTACGTTAAACTAACTGTGTTGAAAATGACACACGATCTTTCCAGATGAGAGCTCGTTTTTGTGCCACAATGTTGGGATAATCCGTTTGGGCTCAATTCCATTTTGAGCTAAAACAAGAGTGCAACAAATTTATTTTGGGCTAGTCTGGCTGTGTAGCCCTTATAGACTATTAGACCTCACCGATTTTGAGGGGAGGAGGCAACTGTACACGGGCTACAATTCGGGTCATAATTGTTGAAACACTTCCCTCAATGTTGGTTTCACGGGTTTGCTTGGGCATAAACGTCTGCAAAATCAGCCCGCAAAATCAACATTGGAGAGGAGGAGGCGAAGAAACGGCCAGGCGTTTCAACAGTTATGACTGCGAATGCAGTCTAGTCATAATGAGAAAGCTCTCCTGCTGAGCAATGTCGTTAATCAAAAGTAGGTATACAACAAATCTGACAAATCAATGTAAAAAGTTGATGATGGTCAGTATTTCAGGGATAACGAACAGTAAGGCAACCGAAAATACGTCGATCAAGTTTGGACCAAGTCTTAAAACGGGGCCATAGTGGAGGATAGAAATCCTATGTTGTTATGTCTTGAGGCTGTTGTATTTTTACAGCTTGGAAGAATCACAATGCACTGAGTACACTTTGTTTAACCACTCCACCATAATTCTGTTGAGTTCCAAGGGACTGGGGAAAAGAAAATAATCATCCAATCAGAGAGCGTTCTTTATTCAACAGAAGCTTTACAGCCCCATCGTAATAACTTAAAAGAGCGCCTGCAGAGAAGAAATGCCGCCGCGGGGCTCTATCCATTAAATACGGTAATCCTACAAGGTAATGATATTAGCAAGGGCCTATTAAGTCCATCGTCCCAGACGGATTTCAGAGTCTAATTAGAATTAAAACAGTAAAAAAAAGCCCCTGTATTCCTTCCAAAAACGTTCTTTCGACTCGGCTTTTTTTTTATATAGAGAAGAAACCAAGTTAAAACGCGTTTTTGATAAAAGTATTTAGTGGAATCCGGTTCAAGAGATAGGTATTTCCTTTAACTGAAATTTGCTAAAATTTTTTTCCCGATGAAGTGGCGTTCAAGAAGGACTAAACTACAGAAACTGGTCTTTTTTTCAGAACGATCAGGCAAGTTTTTTGTAGAGAGCAACAAACACTTTTTTCATACCTTTCCAGTGTCAAGAAGTGGGAAGTCTCTTCTATGTGCGCTCTGTCTAGTTTTGAAACCTACAAATAGTAAATAAATGTAAAACGATGACAGATGATGGTACAATACCATGCAGCAACAAGCGGTTCTCGCCGCCCTATCCCAAAATTTTACTCCGAGTTAGTAAGTCGAGTTTTCTCCGGTCGGTCATCAAAGTTATCATTTACGCAATGGTTTATTGGTATGGTAATCTCCACCGTTTTTCTTTGCGAGTTGGCCGTAAACGTGATCCTTAATGAATTGGACGTAGCCGCAAACGTGCTCATCCAACTTGGGTGTAAGCGCGCGAAGCCCAAACGAACGCGAACTTTCTTTCAAACCGCACATTTTTTTTTACCCAGATTTGAGTGGAAGGGACCTTAAACCAATCTAGATAGCGGTTTCGTGAGTGGCTTCTCTGGTTTCGCGTGGAAGGAAGGCTGATTCGTGTAAAAATATGCCGTTTCAAAAATATAAGGGTTACTTCGTCGCATGTTCAAGACTTGTTCACGTCTCCATAAAACGTCGCATCAGGTTTCACGTCGTAGTCGCGCAGTGGACGTCAAGAAAATATAGTAAAAAGTGTGATACACGCACAGAGCTGTTGTTTTGCTCACAAGCTACAAGCTCTCAGAAAGGCCGAGTGAAAGATTTTTTTCCTTGCTATCGTTGACTCTCGATTTTCCGACTAACTGCTAGCCGGCTGGAATAACGGGCTACAAATACTGTCGTTCATGTTTTAGCGAGAGAAGCCGGGGTCCTCCTATCTTAATTCTATTAATGCTTTAGGGAATTTTTTTTCTCTACCCCAAAAAGATTATAACTTAAAAGATTATTGCTATTTTTTTGCTTACCCACTGATCCATTTTGGCACAAAACTGTGGTTTAATTAGAATATCTTTTCCTGTTGTGATCATTAAACTTGGCTGTTGAACCTGTTATGATTGCAAACAAGTCATTTAGTAACTGAAAAAATCATGGAAAAAGCCCAGACGGAGCAAGCTCAAAATGATATGACTTTTTCCTCGATACTACCAAGACTGGCAAGATACTGCCAACTCATAATTAACTGGAAGTTTATTATGCGAACCACACCCTATTTCTTGGGCGTTCTTCCGTGTCTTTGACCATGCAAAACCGCTGTAGCGAAGTCTGGGGCGGAGCCGGGCGAGAGAACGGCGTTGCTCGTTCTTCAACCTGGTCCCCACCCAGGGAAAAGCGCCCTGGGGACGAGGTTGGCTTTTTCTTCTCAGTGACGTTACCGCGCGAAAGTTGATTCCAGTTGAAACAGAGCCGCAACACCTATGGGTTAGGCTGTGCGAGCCAGTACTCCAAAGAGATTTTTACAAGGCAAACGTGTATGAAAATATGGCATCAATCGGAAAGCACTTTTGGCCATAACTGTTACAAGTTAACTGGAAGAGGGTTCGGGAAATGGAAATCCGACAATAGTGACAAAAAGTGTCACTGTATGTTAGAAAGCGTGGCGTACATCACACAAACTTGAGTTGAACACCCCCCTGGCAATGTCACCCCCACCCCTATTCCGGGCGAAAATATCCTTGTGGTCTTAACAGCAATTAGTAACTCACCATAGGATATAATTTGCTTTTTATAGGCGGTGTTTATTATAAAATTGGGGCATATAACCGGTCTATCACTGAAATATATTCTAAGTGCTTGTCACCTTGCGTCCAGCTATCTTGCAATTCCATCGCCAATCTTTTTCCATGGTTCTATACCAATTTAATGGCCCTCTATGGAGAAGAAAATTATTCCACATTTGTAAGACAAGATCTCACTGACGTAGTACCACAGTTTGATTCCCTTCACTCCTTTAATCTTTTTAGATTCAGCTCCAAAACCCACTACAAATTCTCCACACTAATCTCCATACATTTCCTTAAAGAGTTAGTGGAAAGAATTTGTTTAAAGATCAAACCATTTTCCCTGATTTTTACGACACCTTTTGTAATTCTGGAGGCGTGTGTGGCCGAGTGGTTAACACCTCGAACTCTGGATCTGAAGGTCCGGGTTTCAAGCCTCGCCCGTCGCGTTGTTTCCTTAGACAAGGAACTTTACTCCACTTTGTCTCTCTTCACCCAGGTGTGTAAATGGGTACCAGCGACATACTTCTGGGGGGTAACCCCGTGATTGACTAGCATCCCTTCCAGGGAGGAGTAGCAATACTCCTTGTCTTGCTTCATGCTACGGAAACCGGTATAAGCTCCGGCCGAGTGGGCCTTTGGCTCGTGTGGGCCTTTACCTTTACCTTATATAATTCTCGTAACCTTTTTTCGTGACCATGTATTGATATCGTTAGGAGAAACATGATGTCGATCACTCTTGGGATTTGAAGCCGGGTTAAAAGAACCTACCTAAATCCAGTCTTAGAATAGGTCTCCACAAAATACTTGAGGTCTTCATCGCTCAGAATCCAGCTTTTCTCAATGTTTTCTGGCACACCAGCAAACAGCCCACCTGACAAAATTATTTATAATACAGTAAAAATCAGCTCACAAGTATCCGATTTTCGGAGACATGCTAAAAGGTTTCCATAGGGGAAAAGAGGAAAAGAGTGGTTATTTCGCATCTCCCTGGGAATTTCATGAAAAGTTCTGGGAACGCAAAGTCGTCATCAGTTTTTAATTTGAATTGCATTAGCACTTATTGAGATCTATTTTGCCTGTAATAGTCAAAAGTTGTAAGAACTTTTTGTACTGTAATTCAAGGACGATCCTAAAAAACACCGCCTTGTGATTTACTGCACGTCATTGCGTCATGCGTTCCGGGTCTTTAATTTTTGTTCTCAGAGCGCGAAAATCGTCATGAAGCACGAAAGACCCCGAATTGTGTGAAACGCGTGGGTACGGGGTTTCAAACAGAGCTTTTCTGCATGCGCCCTCCGCATTGACGAATGCTTCTGGCGTAACTCTTGATGTCCTTCTTAAAGACATAATTCGAATGTACGCGTTTAGTCAAGAAGAGATTTGTGTTTTTTTTTTTTGGGGGGGGGGGGGGATANGCCTCTCATGAACAGAATAAATGATCTTCTTATGTCTCTCTGGAGTTCTTCTTCTGCAACGCCCTATAAAAATATCAATGGATTAAAAACGAACGTGTATAAGCATCGCCATTACTAACTACTCCATTTACGTGGTAGATTAGCTTGTTCTCTAATTTCACGCCTTTATCTGTTCGCCTTAAAGGTACGGAAAAACGGGCAGCAAAAAAACATCCAACTTGTCGTGCAACACTGCTGAAAAATGAGTAGAATAGCGATGTTGCACGTTTTACAATCCACATCAAACCTGTCTTGCAACAAATCAGGTTGTTAACAGGTTTGGACGTGGGTTGTAAAACGCGCATCATCGCTTTTCAACTTGTTTTGCGGCAACAGAGTGATCGGAACTGTAACTCTAAACCGTTAGAAATTCATTGATAATTGGCGCAAGTGGGTTTTGGTGGCTAAATTACTGAAAACAAGGCTGAAAAAAGCAAAAACTTCCGTGGACCGGCTATCAATGAACTCATAGGCTCCGTTTCCCGCTCTCCTTTCACCTCCCCGATTGCTCGCGCG